AAACCCAAAGAGTTTTTCTCAATGTATCATCTTCTTCACCTGTTCTCATGATGTGGTTGTGTGTCTGAAATCACTAATCATTATAAAGTCTTCTCTATGGTGAGTTTGACATTTTGTAGTGCCATTCGAATGTTTAGTCAAATTTTTTATACCCTATATAGTGGACCAATTGTTTCCCACAATGCATCGGCATAAGTGAGGTAAAACCAATGGTCACTAACCATCATGCATTGCACTCACGGCAGAGAGATGTGAGGAGAGAGGGCAGCAGGAACAGCCGACCTGTTGTACAAATGCAAACACGAACAGAGCATCACAGCACTAACTGAGGCAGACAAGTTTGTTTCTACATTTAAACACGACCATTCCACATTCTTTTTACCTAAAAGTATTAATACTAAGTGTAAAATAAATATTTCAAATTTACTGTGGGATTTTCCACTGGCTGACGTTGTTGATGTACTTCATCATCCTGTGTAATGACCTAATTACAGATGCAGAGAAAATACGCTGAGTAGTGTCCGAAAGTTTTTTTTTGCTGATGAATTCACTTTATATCTTCTATACATAGAAGACCCTATATATAGAGGCAGGGGTTAGTGAATGAGTGAGTGACTTCAGACACAGCCTGTGACTGACTGACATCTCTGACCACGCTATAGTAGCGATAGTGTGGAAGCACCTGGTCACATGGGATGAGTTAGAACAGGTTTGGTGACCAGTAGCTCTACTCAATTTAAACCTGAGCAGAGGTATAATCAGCCAGAATTAGTACGAGATACCAGCTGCAGATAAAAGACACAACTGGGGACGACATGTTTATTCCAGTGCGGATGTTGTGAGACCAGTGAATTAAGAAGCAGAAAGGCATCATGGTTGCAGCCAATCACTGAATAAGAGAAAATCTAAAGACTTGATGCACAAAATTCCACTAACCTAGATGTTCATACTAGAATGTGGTTCAGGCCACATTGCTCTGTCTGAACTGGGCCACAGAGAAGCTAACCCAGCCCAACAGGCATTGTTTTGTTTTTTTTGTCTGAACCCAGCACGAGCTGAATGCAGTTAATATAAGCTGCACTGAGGCTGTACGGTAATTCCTTGTTTCCCCTTAGTGCAGACAAATACAGTGTAAAAAATCAAGTATACAGCCCAGCTAACAAGACCGAACCTGACTCAAACCCTGATATCATTTCAAAATGTATCCACACTCTAGTTCAAAAGACAAACAAGGAGAGGTGCTTGCACATCAAGGTGGGTGCAGGTAATCAGGGAGGAACAGGAAGTGACCTAAAACAAGATGAGTTGTGAGTATGAAAATAAAACAGAATACAAGACAACATACATGAGGAAAAGTTTAAAAAGTAACTTGGTGAGCTTGTCTACACCTTCGATAGAATTTGTAGCTTCTAAAGGACTCCAATACAACAGCAGCAGCAGACACGTTATGTCCTGCCTCCTACATGAGCTACCCTGGCTCAACCCCTCACCTGAACTTTTTGGACATTTTCCCGTTGTTGTAAACACAACAGCGGAGCGGCCGGGGCTCAGGGGTTAGAGCGGTCATCCTCTAACCAGAAGGCCGGCGGTTCATCCCAGTCTTTCCCACATTGAATGCCAAAGTGTCCTTGGGTGAGATACTGACCCCCAAATATCCCGTTCTAATAGAGAAAAGTGCTGCACATAGATGCACTGTATGTGTGTGTGTATAKGTGATGTAAAACTGTACTGTAAAGCACTTTGAGTGGTCATCAAGACTACAGAAGCACAATGTAAATACAGAACATTTACCATAACTGACCTGGAAAWTTKCCTGCATCATTCCTCATGTTTGAAAGGCAAATTCTGGAAAATGTCCAGACCCCAGTATAAAGGGACATTAATTGTTTTAGACATTTGAACAAACAACCAATGGTGCCATTATTATTGTGAGGAGTCTGTAATACTGATAATCATTTTCCTCTCGTAATTAGTTACAAAATAATAATTTGTTTTATCTCANAAACATCAACCAGAGAGCAACACTGATAAAGAATCCAGTGTTGTACTGTAAATGAGTGTGTTAAGCATTGAGGCAGGTTCACATGTAATTACTTTGACCTTCCACAATAAACAATGTCCCACTATGCAGTTCTGAAATAATCGATGGGTAAATTTGCACTAAGGTTGATTTAAACTTGATCCGACAGAAGCAGAGCTTACATCAGAACAGTCATTCATTCTAAGAACTGACTGCAGATGTTATGTTTGGTTGTTGTCATTCACGTCATAATATCTGAATGAATTTTGCTCAAATACTGTTTCAACTCCATTCACCTCATTTATATTGAAGGTATCTACAGTGATCTGGCCAGTAGAGCAACTGTACCACTAACTTACAGTACAATGTGGATTTATCATTAAAAGTCCAGTGCATAAGATTTAGGTAAAAGGAATCCATTGGCAGAAGTTAAATATAAAATAATTCTTGTGATGTTTTCACGAGTGTGTTTCACCTAAATTGTACAAATTATTTTCTTTACCCTGGAATGGGCCCTTTGTATTTAAATACTTTATATTTACATCGGGAGTGGGTCCTCTACGGAGGCCACCTTGTTCCAAACTGGACAAACTTAACACCTTTCAAATTTTTATGACAACCGAAGGCTATTTATCATGATACTTTATATTAACAAATTTTAATAATTTTTGGTCATATGGTACAGCCCTAATGTGTGTGTGTGTGTGTGTGTGTGTGTGTGTGTGTGTGTGTGTGTGTGTGTGTGTGTGATACAGACAGCAGGGGAAAAGAGAAAGTACTGTATGGAGTAAATCGAGTCTAGCTCTATAGTCTTTACCCTGAGGCCTGTTTTGTGTTAGGGTTTGGTGCAAGGTGATAAGTATGTACTATGTGCACAAAGGTGTAAGGGCCCTATAGTGATAGTTGAAGCTTTAATTTAACATTGCTGTTGTTACATCGCTCATTGTGAGTTCATCTGGCGTTGCAAATAAAAACACCAAAATCATAACAACATTATTTCACATTATTCACAACTCTGGATCTTCTGGGAAGAACGTGGAATTTTAAATGCACAGTTATTATGCCAGGTTTGTTTGTGTTAGCATCAAAACATTTTCACAAAACAGTTGAGTAGATTCAAGTAAACACAAAGTCATGAGTCAGTTTCAGTTACCTTCTTCTGTGGCACGTTTGAACATTCCTTAAATGTTTGTTCCTCAGTTTAGACCCACCATGCAGGAGGAGGCCACTCAGCATTTCCTGGTTTTATGTTATGATGTCATAGCTGAGATCACTGGACCAAACCAAGTGGAGGGGTTTTTTTGCTCCAGGAAGAAGAGGGGCATGTTCAATCTCAAAACATTTTTGCTATTTTGTTACAGTTTACAGGTTCAATAACATGTCTGCTCAAAAATATGTGCAACAGGCTGCGAGGTACGTTTTTACTGGTTTAGTGGGTGTGTCAGAGCGATGTGAATATAAAAGGCATATCTGGATTCTACAGTTATTTAGAGACGAGGCAGCCTACGGCATTGACAAGATGACGTGGGTTCATCAAAGAGTGAGACGAGGGACTTTGCGATGAAAACAATAAAAGTTTCACAGTACATCTATCTACAGTAGAAGTGAAGCCAAAACATCCCAGATACGAATGCTGCCATTTTGCACATCTGGTATCAGATCAAGGAGCTGCAGTTTTGAAGTCCTGCTTACAAAACTAAATTTACTGGTAAAATCACCACTTGAACCAACTTCAGTGGTTGTAGCCACCAGGGACTTACTTTCAATTTTTGGACTTTGAGGAATATAACTTCAATTATTTTATAATATTGCAAAAAAACTTATCTGATCTTATTTTATTTTATCTTATCTTATGTTGGTCAAACTAACTTTGTGTTTCGTTCACTTCTACACTTGCTGAACAAAAAACTATTTTTATTCCCATAAGATTTGTTGTTGTTGTTGCCATAGCTGTTATTAATAGAAGGTGCAGAGGGAGATTCAGACATTTTAAGGGATGTGACCACATCACACTTTAACCCTCGTTCTCTGTTACCACTGATGTTGTGACACAGGAATCGTAGAGTCTGAAGAGAGAGGTCTGATAATTATTTTTATCTGATCATGGAAAATGTTTCTGTTGTGAGAATGTTCACCCTCTCTGGGATAAATGAGACAATGAATTACAGACTCTCCATCTTCTCTCTCACTTTACTGTATTACTGTGTGATTCTGTTTTTCAACATTTCTCTCATCACCATCATTATCTTAGATGAAAACCTGCATGAACCTATGTACATCTTGTTGTGTAGTTTTTGTRTTAATGRACTTTATGGTACCACAGGTTTCTACCCTAAATTTCTTATAGATCTGCTGTCGTCTGCTCAGGAAATCTCATATGCAGGATGTCTCCTACAGGCTTTTGTCATGTACTCGTTTGCCTGCTGTGAGTTGTCCATTCTAGCAGTTATGGCCTATGACAGGTACCTGGCTATATGTCGACCGCTGCACTACCACTCTCTGATGTCCAAGAGGAGGCTCTCTCAGCTGGTGTGTTTCTCCTGGCTCACACCTTTCTGTATTTTCTCCATCARYRTYMTRCTRACKTCCAGACTSARGYTRTGTRRCWCAAAMMTMCMRAAACTCTTTTGCGTGAACTGGATCATWKWTAAACTTGCCTGCTCTGAMGCTGACACATTTTCAAATAATATCYTCTCRTATGCAACCATTATCATTTACGTGTCTCACGGGTTTTTCATCGTTTGGACGTACATGCATCTGATTAAAAACATTGTAAAGTCAAAAGACGGCAGGGTCAGGTTCATGCAGACTTGTGTGCCCCATTTAGTTTCTATAACCACGTTCCTTGTTGTGATAGTTTTTGATTTGATGTACATGAGGTTTGGCTCCACAGATTTACCTCAARGCCTTCAGAACTTCATCGCTATAGAATTTCTCCTCATTCCTCCGCTCATGAATCCTCTAATATACGGATTCAAACTGACCAAAATACGAAATAGAATTTTKTCTTTAATTCACGGTGGAAGAAAATGACGTTAATCTTATTTACTTTTTGTTTTTCATGTAAAAGAACCAGAACATATTAATTTTTGTCAGGAGGAAGTAGTGCAACAGTTGTAATGCTGTATATTCAGAATCTAACTAAAGTTCAAGGCCCCTGCTCGTGTTTAAATGATTCATGTTTGCTTTAAGATGATGTTTGGGTCACTTCAGGGTGGCTCAGTTTGTTCTACACACCTCAGTACATAGTGAATATTGTAAGATCTCGACCTGCCTATTGACATCATTTATGTTGTGATTTGCAATACAAATAAAATTCAATTCAATCACATTTGCTTCAAAAGCGTTAAAATCTGTCAAAAGAGAGCATGTGACTGCATTAACTTCTCTTCACTGACTTCCAGTAAATTGTTGAATTAATTTTAAGACTTTATTGTTGACTTTAAGGGCCCTTTCTGGACTTKCACCTAAGTACATTTCAGATCTTCTGACACCATGTGTGCCCGGTCGTAACCTGAGGTCCTCKGCGGAGGATCTGCTCACCATTCCACAGTCCTGAGGACCGGAGGTGACTGAACCTTTTCTGTCTCCCTGAGCAGAACTCCTCGTCCTCTTTTAAATCTCTCTTTTGTTTGCTTCCTCCTAGTTCTGCTCTTACAGTCAATTTTTATTATTTTATAATGTTTTATTTTATCTTGCTTTTTAGTCTTGTCTCATTTGTAAAAAATGTGTTTCTTCTGT